GAACCACTAGTAAACCTGCAGATTGAGAGTGAATTGCTCTTTTAGGAACATAAGGAACAATTATATCTCTGATATAAGATGTAGCTTGGCTATCTGCGGCTTTTATTCCGGTGCAGCTTATTTAAGTACTACTTTTCCGTTTTTTTCAAAAAAATTAGCGGGCATGGTTAGGTGCGCTCTATAGTCTGGAAAATATGGTAGTCTTTGTCATTATTTAGATACATCTTCATAGTTTTTCCAACAACATTCCAAGGTGCTTGCTAATGAGAACTTTCCTGACTGCTCAATGCTGCCACCTCCAATCATTTTTGTTTCAGGGAGATTGGTGGTGTTGTCTTCAGTTTTGCATGTAGGACCAAAAGTTTTACTTTGTTCTACTTTAACAGAGCACCCTCTCGCACTATGCCTCTCTGTGCTTTATCCCCAGTTATCTTTTCCTTGACTCTTCCATTCCGATTCCCTCTATACACTAGTTATTTTATGTAACTTTAAAAACTGTAACCCAAACAGAGAGAACTGCCTGTTATTGCTAAACTTTGCCATTTGGGAACACTGCAGTTTATCATGCAGCCAGAGTGGAGAGGAAAATTTAATGTTGGCTTACAAAACTTTTAACAGCAACAAACAATTAAATCAACCCAAACTCTGTATTTGGTATAAAATGCAAGACATATGAATCTCCATTGATCAGAGACGACATCACCAAAAACAGCTATGCCTGTTGCATTTAGGTACAGCTGGGACATTTGATTGTTGACTATGAAAAAAAATCCTAGGTGATTTAAGCATGTTTTATTATTAGTTCTATTTAAAGATTGTTTAAACAATAATTAAACCACAAAGCATTTTCCTTGATGGGTACTTTGTTGTATGATCTGTCCAAGTATGGGTTTTGCTTTCTTACACTACTTTTTTATCTAACAAATCTCCAGTCAATGCCATGTATCAACCTTTTTTAAGGTTTTAAAAAACAATATTTTATATATATTTTTCAATTTTCCTTATTTGAAGTGTACCAAAAAGAAAACATATTGTGACTTTTGTGTATGGTTACACCCTCCGACAAGCTTTACCATCCTGAGCAGTAAACAGTTTGTCGGCCACTCTATAATTAACATACTGAGAAGGGCTTCCTATCTGGTCTGGCTCTCTGCCATTGTTGCTTTTGTCTAACGATCAAAATGCTGCCACACTAACAAT